AATGGATAAACAAATTATGGTATATCCACACAATGGAATACTACGCAATGATAAAGAACAGCGATGAAGCTGTGAAACGTATAACATGGTGGAAACTGGAACTTATTATGCTGAGTGAATTTAGTCAGTCACAGAAGGACAAATATTGTATAAGTCCACTATTATAAGAACTCAAGAAAAGGTTTAAGCACAGAAGAAAACATTCTTTGATGGTTACGGGGGTGGGGAGGGAGGGCGAGGGTTATTCACTAACTAGATAGTAGATAAGAATCATCTTAGGCAAAGGGAAGGACAGCACACACTACAGGGGAAGTCAGCACAACTGGACTAAACCAAAGCTAAGAAGTTTCCTGAATATAATTAAACACTTTGAGAGACAGAATAGCAGGGGTAGGGAGGCGTCTGGGGACCATGCTTTCAGGGGACATCTAGGTCAACTGGCATAACAAAGCTTATTAAGAAAATGTTCCGCATCCGACTTTGGTGAGTGGCTTCTGGGGTCTTAAAAGCTTGCAAGCGGCCATCTAAGATGCGTTTTAATTGGTTCCAACCACCTGCAGTAAAGGAGAACGAAGAACTCCAAAGACACAAGGAAAGTATTAGCCCAAGAGACAGAATGCGCCACATAAACCAGAGACTTCATCAGCCTGAGACCAGAAGAACTAGATGGTGCCTGGCTACTACCAATGAATGTCCCGATAGGGAACACAACAGAGAGTCCCTGATGGAGCAGTAGAAGGATGGGGTGCAGGATTCAAATTCTAGTAAGAAAACCGGACTTAACGGTCTGACTGAGACTGGAGGTGCCCTGGAAAGCATGGCCCCTGGACTCTCTATCAGCCCAGAAATAAAACAATTTCCGAGGCCAACTCTTCAGACAGGGATTAGACTGGACTGTGGGACATAAAGTGATACTTGTGAAGAGTGTGCCTCTTAGTCAAGTAGATACAAGAGACCAAAGGGGCAGCTTCTGTCCAGAGGAGAGATGGGAAGGCAGAGAGGGTTAGGAGCTAGTTGAATGGTCATGGGGAATCAGGGGTGGAAAGGAGGAGTGTACTGTCACAGAATGGGGTGAGCAACTAGGGTCTCATAACAATGTATGTATAAAAATTCTGTATGGGAGGCTAACTTGAAATGTCAACTTCATTTAATTACAACATTAAAAAAAAAAGAAAAAATAAATAAATAAAATAAATTTCAAAAAAAGGAGCAACATTCTCCTACCCTATCCTTTCCCATCCCCAGTGCCAACCCTTTTCCGTGGTTTGAAATTTTAGTTCTTTTGGTGTTCCAACTCCAAATAATAACCTCATACTTCTTTTTCTTGATTTATTATCTTTTAGGCAATATCTATTTCTTCCTCCCTGATAATTTTGTTCACTTATACTTCCCATCTTCATATCCCCCCATTTTGTCCCAAGGTTTAATAATTATGTTATTATTATTAACCGTGTTATTAGTTATTACCTAAATTGAAATGAGATAATTATAATCTATATTTTTGCTCCATTAAGGAGTTAGTATCTAAACTCTTTATATCAGATTAGGTATTTAGTGTCCATATCATCCCCTCTGACTGTATTTCCTTCCTTCTGCCTTCCATTTCTTTCCACTACATTTTTACTTTTATCATTAAGAGTATTTCTGCAGCTACAACTAAATATTCTGTGCTTTGCCTATAGGAGGATTCTAAAAGTTTGAAAACCAATAAAGAGAGCTTACCATATTATGAAAATATATGTACTGTCATATACAATATACATGCTAGTCCTACCAGGTTAAGAGATATGCTAGTTAGGGTTATATCTTCTTTTCTACTGGTCCAAGGATGCAATCCCTGGGCCACTTGAAATAGAATCTTTATGGCATTAAAGTCTTATACTTCATCAGTTGCCTTAAGATCCTGCCATTTTTTATTCTGCTTCACATTTACATCATGACTTCTTTTCTTGTACAGCTCTTTATTTTTCTTAACATTTCTAAATGTCTGTCTTTTATTGCAGTCAAAATAATTGATTAAGTCTCAAATTTTTTCATCTGCTACATCATACTATCAACTGCTTAAAATCCCCCCTTTTCTTAAACACTTCCCTATGTTCTCGAGCTCCAACCTAGGTCAGCAGCAGCCTGTGACAACAACCATCATCCTAAAACTTCCCTTCACTGCTTTCCCATGTTGTTTCCTGGACTCCATGAAATTTTCTTTCTTAATTTTTCCTCTCATTTTGCTGGAATGTGTATCCTCAAATAATTTCCAAGGAAAGGATGCGTTTTGATTAAACTTTGAATCCTTGCTTCTCTAAAAATGTCTTTATTCTTTCTTCATATTTGAAGGATAGTTTGGATGGATATAAAGAGCTCTGGTGGCCCAATGGTTAAGAGCTTAGCCACTAACAAAAAAGCTGGCGGTTTGAACCCACTAGCCGCTCCGCGGGAGAAAGATGTCAAAGTCTGCTTCCATAAAGATTTACAGCCTTGGAAACCCTATGGGGCAGTTCTACTCTGTCCTCCAGGGTCGCTATGAGTTGGAATCGACTCGACGGCAACAGGTTCTTTTTTGTTTGTTTTGGATGAATATAGAATTATAAGTTCAAAATCAGTTTTACTCAGAAAGTTGAAGGCAGTGTGCCATTGCATTCTAGCATCCAATGTAACGATGAGAAGTGTGATGAAGCACAATCCCTCTTTTCTTTCTCTTAGAAGCTTTTAGGATTTTTTCTTTATCCCTGGTGTGCTGAAATTTCCAAGGACATTTTAGGTATGGGTCTTTTTTTTTAAATTATTGTTCACTGTAGTTGGTTCTCCGTGAGCCCTTTCAATCTAAAGACACGTATTGTTTTTCAACTCTGGTAAACTCTCTTCTATTTTTTCTTGTTAACTATGTCTCATCCATTTTCTCTGTTGGCTTTTTGTGAAAGAGACGGATGTTGAACTTGGACTTCTGTAATGGTTATCTGTATGTTTCTTTTCTCTCAAATTTCTATGCCTTTAATGTTTCTGATCTACATTCTGAAATATTTCCTTGACTTTATTTTCGAGGACTTCTTTTTTTAATTCTGGGTGTTGTAGTGGTTTGGAAAGATCAATTTCTCTAAAAAAGAGCATGCTCATTTTCTTCTGGTTTATAAATGATAAATGGCTTATATCCTACAATGCAGGAGTCAGAAGGTGCTGACACAGTTGCTTTGATTACAGACCTTCAATTAAATTCATCATTTTCAGCTCTACTTCTTACCCATGTGCTCCATAACTCATGCCAATTCTAAGACCAAAGACTCTTCAGGGTTCCAGTGGGCATGCTGGCTCCCATCTTGGACACCTTAAACAATTATGGGTTCTGGCTTCTTCTTCATCCTTTCATCCATCAAACCACTATTGTTTACTTTTTTTCTCTCAAAAATTTACTGAAATCTCTTATTTGCTGGTAACATTTTCCCTTCCTCTACTTCCTTTCACTTTGAAGTTTTTGTTTATTCCTTTAAATAAACCAAACCATTGCCGTCGAGTTGACTGCAACTCGGAACAACCCTATACGACAGGGCAGAACTGTCCCACAGGGTTTCCAAGAAGCAGGTGGTGGATTCAAACTGCTGATCTTTTGGTCAGCAGTCAACCTCTTAACCACTCCACCACCAGGGCTCCATTCCTTTAACTACTATGTTTTTATTTCAGTGAGCCATGGGAGTCTTGAAATATCAATGAATATACTCAATCCAACATCTTCAGAATTCCATATTTGACAACATCCCCAGACTTTTCTCCGAACGTTACCTCCACATCTTTCTCTTTAACAGAAACCTGTTCATCCCTACCACTCAGCCCAGAAGAGCAGAGTTACGCCTCCAGCTATAACCCTCTCAAATAGACACTGGTGTTTCTGTCATACACTGTGTACTTCAGAGTGGCGAGGAAATGGATATGCTTCTTGTTCCTCACTACTGATTTTAGACTGTTACCTTGCTGCTTCTGCTTATAAAATGCCTTGCTCCATTGAGGTTCACACCCTCTGGATATTATCATGTCTCCACCCTAACAGCAATTATCCAGCAACACCTAACCTTAGTTGCTGGCTTGGTTTTCCTCTCCATGCTGATAGCACACCTGGGGACCTCTACACCCATGTGTATTAAGCTATTCAAATCCCTGGCTCCTTTGTTCCTTAACTTCGTCATCTCTAGTAACCTCCTCTGCCACCTCAGTGACCCATACTCACAGCCTTATCCTTGATCTTGTCATCATCAGAATTTGAACCACCTCTAAAATCACTAATATAGATAGACATGCTCTTCTTCAACTAGAACCATCTATTTTCCCAGCTCACTTGCTTAAGAAATCCACTATAACAAGTATTAAGAAACATGGTACGACTTCTCTAATAAGCTCCTTTCCCAATTATCTACAACAACTACTTTGTAGTGCTCTTTAGTCTTCAAACCCCTTGGCCCTTCTTAAATCCCTACTCTCAGCTAATAACCTAGCACTTCACATACCCTTTGCCTCTCATCTCCTTCTCAAGACTTTGTTCTATTGGTGATACCCTCTGTCTCCCACATGTTCAACTTCTTCCTCTCAACTGGCTTCCCCTTAGCATTAAAAAAAAAAAGTCTAGTATCTCAGACTTTAAAAAAGTCTTCCTTAGACGCCCCCCACATTGCCTCTAACTACTGACCAGTCCCTCAACACTTCCTTTCCCGTTCCTTTATTGGACTCAGCACAATTTGAAGGTTTTATTTGTGGAACTGTCTCCCCGCTGAGACTAAGCTGCATCATTACTGCATGCTAACATCTAAGACAAAGCTAATGCCTGGCACCTGACAGAGTTCAATAAATATTTTTTGAATGAATGAGAACCAGCAATTATCACTCAGCATATATTTGTCAATAAGTTCCTGGGTGGCGCAAGTGGTCTGCAGTCAACTAGTAACCTAAAGGTTGGCAGTTGAAACCCACCCAGTGGCTCTATGAAAAAAAGGCCTGGCAATCTGCTTCATAAAGATTACAGCCAAGAAAACTCTATGGAGCAGTTCTACTCTACAACACATGGGGTTGCCATAAGTCATAACCAACTCAATAGCAACGAGTTTTGGTTTTTTAGTTTTATATATTTGTCACTGGTTGTGGAATGTTAAGATGTTAAAATGAAATTAAACTGGGGTTCAGTCTTGACTAAAATAACCTGCTACTAGATTTTCCAGTTGGAGTGCTTATTTTAAAATCATGGTACTTATTTTAAGTTGAACTACAGCATTAGCTCACCCATGTCATTCTCTTTCCCTCCTTCCTGGGAAAGAGTAGTCCCTGCAGCCACAGAAGACGTGGGATTGGCAGGCAGATATCCAATGTCTGTTCCTTCATTTGCTATTCCACTCTGGCGCAACTTAGCAGAGTCTTGAGGCTCAGGACTCACAGACGAGAGTGTGGATAAGTGTTTAGGGTGGCGCTGCTTCTGTAGTTCCATGGCTCTGCCAACTAAACAGAAAGCAATGGTTAGCGATCTGGGCTAAAAAAACAGTTAAACGAAGATGTAATGTAAAAGGATCTGAAAAATGCTTGGAACCTGGTGGGCCCTAGAAAAATATAAGTTGAATTGTTATACAGAGTCAGAGATAGATGGATAGACAGACAGACAGATAGATAGAGGGATAGAGAAAGAAAAGAAGAGGTAGAGAGAGAAAGGCAGAGGAAGGCAAAGGAGAGAGAGAAGGAGATGGAGGCGGGTTGAAGAGAACAGGAAGGGAGGAGATGAAGCAGGGTCATGAGGAAAGGAGATGGGGGCGGCAACTGCGGGGAGAGCAGAGAGGGAATGCTGAGAGACAGAAGCAGATACCTAAGGAGCTGAATTCATTGCTAAGAGTGAAGATAAAGCCTTAAGCTCTGTGAACTCTTAGCAAGCCTCCCACCCCATATCTCCTCTAATGCCCACAGCTTCCTCATCACAATATGCCTCACAGACCATCCAGACGAATTCCCACTCTGTTCTTCATCCCCCATTCAGTATCACTGTTCATAACCCCCTACCCCAAGTAACGTGATGTTTTAAAATGTGGTACCGCCAAGGTTGAGAACAATTATGTGACCTAGTTACGCCTCCCTAGTACCACTCTCCCTAATTTTCCTACAGCCCTCTCGAGTGGGCTGACCTCTCTCTGCTGGACATGGGGGTGGAAGAAGATCATGAAATAAAGTACAATGGAGAGGTGGAGAGATCGCGTAAGAAGTGTGGAGAGTCAAGTAATACCTGTATAAAGAGATTAAACAAAGTACGTTGGAGAGATCTATGCACACTTTGTTTTCTTAATTTAACAATCACAATTTGAATGCAAACAAAATTAGAATAGATAGATAAATTATGTCATGGACAACTGATGTTAATACTGTACTGCCAGTAAAGATGTTTATGGCAACTATGTAGCAACATGAGGGTAAGCAGTTCAGAAATAACACTAAAAGGAAACAAAGGCACCTTGGAAGTTCAGGGGAACTAGTCTCAATACACTCTTCTCCAGCAGTTCTGATACTCCACCTGCATGGGATGGTGGGAATGCAGCATTTCAAACATCAACGTACTTGCACTGTTGTCATGGCGGCTTGGTCTCCTTGGGGGTCCCAGGATGCTGGTGAATCCTCTTCGCTTCCCTTTTTCTTCGCCTTCCCTATCTTTCTTCATACTCTGCTAGAGTGGATATACGATTAAAAATATAAGATGTGTAAAGAATAGATTTCTTTTTACTGCTTTGAAACACAGAAATGCAATTCTAATGGTCAGTTGAAAGAAACTGGTTAAATGTAAATGAAGGATACACACAAACACACACACAGAGTGCTCATTAGAGGTGGGCACATAGTGTTCTGTATGTATCAAACTCAAGATGTCTTCTCAAGTCCTTTAGAGCTGATGATTTTGGAAAATAAAAAAGTAGTTTGATTACACATTTACCAGGAGCTTGTTCTAAGCAATTCACTCACTCAACATTCAGCAAATATTTACTCAGCTCATAATGTGTGAAGGCTGTATGTTAAAAGCTGGGGTTACACTGATGAAGAAACAGACAACTTACTCGCCCTCACAGAGTCTTACAATCTATCAAACATTAAACAAAAACACAAATAACTACAAACTGTAACAGATACCATAAAAGTATAAGGTACTAACTGAGTTGGGGATGGTATTCTGTGTAAACCACTATTTACACTTTTCACATTGTCTAATAATTTGCTCTTATGCCTGGAATTCTCACTAGATTTTGAGTTTCTTGAGAACAAAGACCACATCTCACATCTATTAGTATGTCTAGCACTAATTTGGTGAATAAATAAATACAATTAAGGAGGAAAGCACTACAACCAAATGTAAAGAAGCCCAGAGACCCTTAGTCTCATGGGGCAACTCAGTCAACTGGCATAATTAGTTCACAAAATTTGTGTTCTGCATCCTAGTGAGGTGAGTAGCATCAGGGGTCTTAAAAGCTTACGAGCAGCCATTTAAGATACAACTATTGGTCTCTACTTGCCAGGAACAAAAAAGAAAGAAGGAAACCAAAGTCTCAGAGAAGAAACTAGTCTACAGGGCTAACAGCCTACACGAGCCACAGCCTCATCTACCCTGAGACCAGAAGAAATAGATGGTGCCCGGATATCACTACCGATTGTGCTGATCAGGGCCACAATAGATGGACTCTGACAGAATGGGAGAAAACTGTGGAACAGAACTCAAACTCTTAAAAAGTCCAGACTTTCTGGACCAGTTGAGACTAGCGGATTCTCTGAGACTATCACCCTGAGATACTCTTTAAACCTTGAACTGAAACTATCCCAAGGTCACCTTTTGGTAAAATAACAGATTGGCACACAAAATAAAGGATATCACCCATGAGTACGGTGCTCCATTACAAAGCCATCTATATGAGACCAAAAGGTCAACAATTACTCTAAAGGCAAAGATGAGAAGATAACGAGGCAGGGAAACTAGAGTACTGGAAACGGAACAACCAGAAAGCAATTAAAGAGAATGTTGACACATTGTGAAAAATGTAACAAATGTCACTGAATAACTTGTACAGAAATTGTGAAATGGAAACCTAATTTGCTGTGTAAACTTTCACCAAAAACACAGTAAAATATTATTAAAAAAAAAAAAAAAGAAGCACAAAGACTTGAACACTCTGTTATTGTTCTGGTCTCACCTTGATTTTTGGAAGGAATCCAATCCGACCTCGCTTGTGCTCCAAATTTCGAGGTTCTTTCACTTTTACGCCCAAATGTTTCATGTACATGAGAATAACATACTGCATTGTGGAACTGGAAAGGAAGGGATTAGTAAAATAAGACTTCTGAGATGGGGCATGATTAGAATAAAGACATAAAATGACATCAAACCCAAAACTCCAGTGTTGGAATTCTTGGAATTAATTCATTAAGCAAAAAATAAGGAACTATCTATTCATTGCAGACAGGAAAGGATTCTATTCAAGAAGACACTAGAATATTAATCAGATAAAATACAGGCCACCAGGGGAGACCACAGCCTACATTTTTAAGTTAAAAGAAACAAGTCTTAATTTAGAGCTGACAAGAGAAAATATGGGTTTTTTTTTTCCTTAAAACCCTAGGATAAAATGGTTATATTACCTCTTATCTTCTTCTATGGCCTGAGCTGTCATCCTAAAAGCAAAAACATTTAAAAATGAAATATGAAACTTTAATAAAAGAATTGTTATTAAACTCAGATACCTGAAACAACAGAACAGAGTCAAATGCCTTGGGCCCTACCTTAAATCTTTGTCAACTAGAATAAAATATCAAAAGAACTCTAATCCACAAAGGAACTACATGCTTTTCACACTCACGTCATCAAGTGTACATATTATACAGCAAAAAATATTTCCAAAGCCAATGAAAATATTCAACCTATTTTTGATCATTGATTAGAAACTTTAGAGTTACTCATTTAATCAACATCCAGAACAAGAAACACAAGAACTTTATCAAAAATAAAATATCAGCAAAGGGGAAAAAAAAACAAACCCAGTTTCTCAAGTATTGTGAAATAATAAAAAGGCCCATGTATGATGTGACATTCCTTCTAAATTTATTCAACGCGTACTTCAAGCATAATTACATGGCATCTCAGTAGAGAGGGCATTTCCACATACACTTCTATTACTTACAACACTTCTTCAATTTTGGCAACAATCTGTTCTGCACATGCCCGTTCCTTCTCCAAAGTTACCCGGTCCTTGTCTCGCTCTGCATCGAGTTTAGTCAGCTCACTTTCAGCCAAGGTCAGCCCCATACTACGCTTTTGCCTAAAAAGAATAGGAGAAATTTCCTGGTATAACTTAAGAGAAAAACTACCTTCCTCTGGAGATGTCTTATCACAATCTCCATAGCTATGAGTTTCTAGCAACAGGCAAAAATGACACACTGTTCTACATCTGCACCCACGTCACCTAGGATGCCAGAGGAAAAGAATTCTAGAGACACTCACTCAACAGAACACATATCTTAAAGGAACACACTTAGCACAGCGTTAGTACTGAGATCAAATTCTGAAAGCATGTGGAATGAGGACTCTGGACTCTCGGTTCCACTATAATCCTTTGACTCTAGATGTTCATTATGTTCTTAATATAGTGATAAAGACCATATATGGTTCACCTAGTGCTAAGATAAGGATGGAGTCCCTGGGTTAAGTGCTTGACTACTAACTGAAAGGCTAGTGGTTCAAACCCACTGCAGAGGCAACTCAGAAAAAAAGGCCTGGTGATCTGCTGCCAAAAGGTCACAGCCTTGAAAACCCTATGGAGCAGTTCAACTCTATACACACATGGGATTGAAATCAACTTGATGGCAACTGGGTTTTTTGGTTTTAAGATAAGGATTAAATATGTAACATTTTCCTATCAAAAAAAAAAAAAAAATTCAGAATGACCATATCAACTTATATCTACCACCAAGATTACCGAAAATCTTCCAAGTGCCTTTGAACCTCTGGGTGAACTCTTTCTTGCATAGTTTGGATATAATGGCGATGGAGATCCTCAGGAATAAGCTCTGGTCTTCTCTTGTCTGTGTAATGAAAAGGAAAGGAAGCATTTCCTCTAAAGGTATGTTCTCTGCATTATGACTGACAATGTATCAGTGCTATCTGATGAAAATTTAACCTGGAGTAAGCCAAAGAGAAGTTCCTCAATGCTTTTCATGTATCTGATTTCAGAATTCAGATTTCATTTACCCTTAAATGTATTATAAACTCACCTTCTCTTCAATTCATCACATGACACATAAAACTTTCTTTAGAGATGAGCTACGTATCTATAGAAAAGTAATTCTCCAGGACATTGGTGCTCCCAACTTACCGAGATCTGTAGCTATTTCATCAGGAACAGAAACTTTCAGGTGCTAAAACAAAAATGCAAACAAACAATGAAATAGTATGAAGGAATTTTCAAGACGTATAAAAGTGCTTGTATAAACTAAAGGGATACAGTACAACTTGGGATGCCTGTTCTTAAAAGCATATTCATTCATAAACTCATTTAGTGAGTTCCACACATCCAACTTTCACAGCTCTGGAGCACTGTGTTGATTAACCTTGAAAATAAACCCTTTTCCCAAGGATCATACTATTAAGAAAATATCTACAGTTTATTTCACTAGGTTACTGAATGCTTCTGTGCCATATTTACTCCTAATGAATACATTGGCTTTGGCTTTCTAGAATCACTGGTTCATATAATCAGTTATGTACCATTTAAATCAATATAGGTAAAACCTAAACAATGTATACATTATTGTATGAAAGATTTACAGATACATAATCATGACTTTCATTTTCTGTATTTGAGATACTCACACTATAGACCATGATACAGTCATTTTTCTACATAAAGTTAAAGAATCGTTACAATAGTCACATTCCCAGTAAGAAGGTATTGTATGAGAATATTGAGTTTTTGGAGTCTTGTATCTCCAGTAATTTACTGTTGAACTAACTAAGGTGACTATCATATAATTTAACTTCTCTTAGCTAGGGTTTTCACCATAATAATTGCAGTTTTTGGTCCCATGAACAGACTATTGTGTTTTTCCCTCACAATTTGGGAAATGTCTTGAAAAAAATTATTAATTTGCATTAAGAGGAAATGTCTTAACCTCTTCGTGCTTATTTTGTATAGTATATGCACTTAAGTCATACGCTTCCAGAAATCAAACAATTCCTAAAAGACCTGAGGTTTTAAATTTGAAAATAAATCACTGCTGAGAATTAGATTTCTCTTATTCACTTAAAGGGACAACGAAACGGATTTCAAAGCTTTCTCTTTGATGGGAGTTGCCACCCAGTAGCACAGATCAACTTTCGTAAAAGTACTTTTACTACAAGTGCAAAAAATATACAAAAGTTCATTTGTGTATGTGGGTATTTATATGAAATAAATATCACCTGTAGCACTAAAAGAACTAGAGATTATGTAATCAATCACTGTTCTGATTACACTTTAATGGTATACTTATACAGATCATGAGTAGCAAAATATAAGGTTTTGACTTAGCTTGGAGTTCTCTTAAGAAATGTGAGAGTCAAACATACTTGAATATATTGTCATTTCTTCATAGAAGCAAATTATTTTAATAAAAATAATGCATGCTATTTTAACAATGATGGTACAACAGAATCGTAATTCATTCAGCAAAAATTAGGTGCCCACTAAGTACCAGGATCTGTTGGAAACACAGCAGTGAACAAACAGACAAAAATATCTGCCCTAACGGAATTTACACTCAGGAATACAGACAACAAAAATAAATAATATATTAGTTCTATGGACAGAAATGGAGCCCTGGTGGCACAGTGGTTAAGAGCTTGGCTGCTAACCAAAAGGTTGGCAGTTGGAATTCACCAGCTGCTCCTTGGAAACTCTATGAGGCAGTTCTACTCTGTCCTATAGGGTCACTATGAGTTGGAATCAACTCGGTGGCAATGGGTTTGGTTTTTTGGTTTTACGGACAGAAATAAAGCAGAAAAGGTGACAGAAAGTAAAGGGTGTGAAATATGAGGAGATTGGTCAGGGAAGGCCTCACTGAGAAGGCAACTGTATTTAGCAATGTGAAGGTGTGGAGGTGTCTTTGTAAAGGAATACAAAGAAAAAGAGGCAGGACCAGGAGAGAGAAGTAGAGCCAAAGTGTATTTGAGTTTGTTTGTTTTAAGATAGGAGAAATAACAATGTTTGCATGCTAATGTGAATGATTCAGTAGAAAATAAAAAACAGGAAATAATTCCTAGAGTAAGGTCTTTGAGTAGGTATGAGGAAATAAAATGTAGTACACAAGGGGAAGAGTTGACTTCAGTCAAGAACGTGGACAATCCATTCACAGCACCAGGAGAGAGGGCAGAGTATATTGTATGATGGAGAGAGGAGATGAATGTGGTAGAAGGTCTCTTCTATATACTTTAAATTTCTTAGCAAGGTCATCAGCTAAGAGAAGGATAAGAGAGGAAGTGATGAAGGTTTCAGGAGACAGAATCGTCATCTAAGAGAAACTGTCATCTCAGAGAACTGCAACAGCAGAAGGACTAGGGAAGTACATCATGATTACCCAGGAAGCACCAAGGGCTGACAGCTATTTACCCTATAACAAGGCTAATAACAAAACTTACTAGAGTTTGAAAACCTTACTTTCTATAGGTAAAATAAAGCACTATTATAGTTTATTTCACTGTGAGATCTTTCCCATCACCTTTTACTTCAATCTGTGCCTCCAAACTTCAAAGAAGCCAGCCCACAGTTCAACTATACAAGTATTATCCCTTGCATCATAATATATGAATGTACATCATATGTGACATCTTTTTCACTCCCTCACTCTAATTAAGCATATGTATAAATCTGAATACACATATATACACCTACTGTGAGAATTCAAATGCCTACAACTGATTTAGAAAGGATAAAAAAAAGTCAAGAGTAATAAATAATTGAATATAGGTGGTGGAGCTATGGGAACTAATTTTTTTTAAGGAGAGACTATCAAACACAACAACAACCAGAAGACAAAACAGATAATTGGGACCTCATAAAAATTAAATACTTACGTTCATTAAAGAACTTTATCAAAAGAGTAAAAAGAGTGATCAATAACTGAGATGTAATACAGATGTCAGAAAACACAATACAGTCCAAAAACATGGGAGGGAAGATAAGAAGCAGGAGGCCAATAATTCAATGTACTAAAGCAAAGATTATAACATTAACTTGACAACTTACTGCAGATCGATCCAGGAAGAACTGGTGAAACTCAAGGAAGACTCGACGAGTCTCCTTGGAATTGGTCTGTTTATACAGGTCTGAATAGAGATAACAGAGCTGTAGCAGAGAAACAAATGGAAAAGATAAAGTGAGAAATCACAAAAAAATGTAATCCGCTACATCCTCACTGAGTAGGAATGTTTGGAATAGGTAGGTCACCATAACCAATGTACCTATTATCATGTGTAACCAAGTCTTAAAAAAAATTAATAACATTTTAATTATCTTTTACATCTACACTTATATGTCTGGAAGACTGAAAAAAGTCTGTCACTTATCATGCATATGTGAAAAGTTTAATGGTATATGAATCAATATAAGACCTCTGAATTGGCTAAATCATAGAACATATTACCAGTGTCGCAGGGTCAAACTGTGAAACAACATGGTGTAAGAAAACAGCCAAGTGAGCAGGGCGTGATTTCAGCAGTTCAATGCTCTGGAAACAGCTGCACTGTCCATTGATCTAGAAAAAGAAATCACTGTACGTCAATAACTCCAACACACAAATCAAAATGCACTGTAGGCTCAACTTGACATAACTATCCAAATTTTACTTTGACCTATCCTGATTATTTTACATTTTAAATCAGATAGAAAGGATTAAGTCAGATATTACAAAAATTTGAGATTTTAAAAAATTTACTAGACTTTATTAGCAATATAGGCTATGGACTCTCTTCCTCTCAAAATGCATTGTCTCTTGGGCATAGAAGGGAAGAAAGACCATGTGGAGAGAATGGAAGTTGAGAAGATGATTTTAAGGAGCTCAGATGTTTATAAACTGAAAACCCTATGGAGCACTACTCTGACATATATGGCGTCACCATGGGTTGGAATCAACTCTATGACAACCTCTTTCTTTTTCCTCAACATACAGATATCAATATGTGAAAAACAGTTTAACAACATTTCTAAAAAGATAATAGAAGGTTTTTTGCCTAACAATGAAATAGCTCTTTTCCTTTACTTTTGGACTAATCACGGGAACGGTGGTAGGAAACAGAATTGTATGATTTTAAGTAGGGAAATCCTAAAGTATTTGTCTATTCCCTAAATACAAGGAATACAGAAAACAGTAATAATTTAGGTAAACTAACATCACAATTTCCGTATAATTTTTCACATTTACATAAATAAAGCAGAGAAGAAAGTTAATCTAAGAGAATAATCTAGATAAGGATCTTTAGCTTTCCCACTGGGGGAGGAAATTATAAATTAACTATCAATCGCTCAATGACCTAACTCTTAAAAACATTCCAAAAAAGAAAATTCCAGACCCAGATGGTTTTACTGGAGAATTCTACCAAATAAATTTAAGCAACAAACAATATCAATTTTATACAATCTCTTCCAGAAAACAGAAAAGGAGGGAACATTCATTCTATAACACCAGAGTTACCCAAATACCAAAAACCAGGCAGTGACATCACAGAAGAGATACCACACAGAAAGAAATCTACAGACCAATATTCCTCATGAACATACAGGCAAAAATCCTCGGCAAAATATTAGCAAATTGAATCCAGCAATATATAAAAAGAATAAAACATCATGTCCAATTGCAGTTCACTCCAGGAATAAAAAGTTGGTTCCATATTCAAATGGAGTCCCTGGGTGGTGTAAATAATTAACATGTTCGGCTGCTAGCTGAAAGGTTGGAGGTTTAAGTCCACCCACAGGCACCTTGGAAGAAAGGTCTGGCAATCTACTTCTGAAAACTCTGCCACTGAAAACCCTATGGAGCACTACTCTGACATATATAGGGTCACCATGGGTTGGAATCAACTCTATGGCAACTGTTTCCCACCTCCCCCAACATTCAAATATCAATGCAATTTACTATATTTAAGAGACTAAATAAGAAAAATCATATGATTATCTCAATAGATTCAGAAAAATCATTCAACAAAATTCAATATCTATTCATGATAAAAACCCTTAGCAAACTAGGAACAGAAAAAAACTTCCTTACTCTAATAAAGGCATCGACAAAAAACTACAGCTAACATCAGAATGGTGAAGAGACTGAATGCTTTCTCCCTAAGATCAGGAATAAGACAAGGATGTCTTGTCTCACCACTCTGATTGAACCTCATATTGGAAGACTTAGCCACTGGATTAAGGCAAGAAGAAATAAGAAGTATACAGATTGGAATATAGTCGTCTGTGTAGAAAATCCCAAAGAATTTACAAAAAAAAAAATTCCTAGAATAAATGAGTTTAAGCAATGTTGCAGGACACAAGATCAATAATCAAGCCAATCATATTCCTATATATATATATACCATCAACCAACAATTGGAATTTGAAATTTAAAAAAAAAAAAATCATTTATAGTAATACTCATCAAAAAAAAAAAAAAAAACACCATAGTATTTAGGTACAAGTCAATGACCTAACACTTACCAGCTTTAAAAGCAAAGTCATTCCTATTGGTCAAAGCAGAAATAAGCAACCTAAGGGACTACCAGTTCTTAAATTTAGCTTTGAGTCCTTACAAAGTTATTTCAAACCCCAGAAAGTGTTTATTTCTGCAGCAAATCAGACATCTCATAAAACTAATATTATTTTTTAGAAAAAATGTCATCACCTGTTCATGTTCGGTGCCAAAATCATCATCCTCTGCCCCAATAATATGAGGTGTTATACGGGTTGAAGGACTCCCGATAAGTAACTGAGTATCCTGGTAGCGTTCAGAGAAAAGGAACAGAAAAATTATCTGATGGTCAAATTTCAGAGAAGGAATAAAGCCAAACTGATATAAAAAAGATATGATTCACTTAACCTTTTTGATTATTCAAGCCTTGGGGTTATTTGCTTATTTATATTTTAAGGTACTTTATTTACAAGGAGTCCCTGGGTGGCGTAAATGGTTAAGCAATCCACTACTAGCCAAATGACTGGCATTTTGAACCCACCCAGAGGCCCCTCAGAAGACAGGCCTGGTGGTCTGCTTCCAAAAGGTCACAGCCTTGAATACCCTGTGGAGCAATTGTATTCTGCACACATAGGATCACCATGAGTCAGAATCAACTTGAGGGCAAATAACAACAACAACTTTATTTTCAAAGTAGCAGTTCTCCACTTTTAAAGGCCATGAATCATCTCAGCAGAGAATACCACCACAACAGTACTAATGGCTTCTCATGGGAAAAAACATCTCCTCTGGAAACAGTAAATACCCTTCACCCACTCACTAATGCCTTGGTTATCTGATTCTAATCACTTTCTGAATACTTCATTTATTAATTCATACATACCTAGATCTTGTTACAGAAAAAACTGAAGTTGGCTTACATAAATAGTTACAATGTAAAAAAAGTTAAATTTAAAAAAAAGTGAATGTGGACAACAGGACAAAAAGAAAGTGACAGTAGAAATGATAAGGCAAAGTTAGCAGAAAGGTTAATACACCTCAGAAGTACTAACAAAAGATTTCCATCAATGTCACATAATTTAAAGACATTGCTGAGTCCTACTACTATTTTTCATTTTAATTCACTTACTCAAGTGTATAATGCAAGGTTTCTCAACCTTGGCACTGTGGACATTTTGGGCCAGGTAATTTTTGCTGTGGGGACTGTCTTGTGCATTGTAAGATGTTTAGCAACATCCCTGGCCTATACCCATCCACTAGATGCCAGCAGCAGCCCCTCAGTTATGACAATCAAAAATGTTCCCAGACATTGCCAAATGTTTCCTAGGGGGCAAAATTGCTCCTGGTTGAAAATCACGGGCATAATGCAATAAAAAATTTGCAAGGAATCACATAAACACTGCTATAGAAACAAAGACAGCAAAATTGCAGCAAGAAATTACAGGTCAGCAGGTAGCATCACTGTGTAATAGCTCAACCATTTATCAACTGACTTCCTAAGTTGGATTCAACATGATAAAAGGCAGCATAGGGGCATCAATGTACAATATAAAAAATATGGGTTGTTTGAAAATCACAAAGATCAAAATCAAAAAGACCATATAGCATTAAAAGAAATAAGAATTTTGGGAGAAATAGGAAAGGAATAAGTTTGGTTTAAATACGACAGGAGTTAAACACGTAGGATTGGGAGGTCAGCAAAAAGGGAAGGGCAGAAATAATGATCGGCAGAGTTAAGAGCTGAAACTACATACGTAAGTGGATCCACAAGTTATCAACTGAGTGAATAATATGTAGCTGTTGCTTTTTCCTCCTTAAGTATGTTGCAACACTATGTATTTGCATCTCTGAAACTTGCTTTTGTCTTTTTTACTACTCTTTTTTTTTTTTTTAACCTCAAAGCTTTAATAATTAAAAAAAAAAATCAGGTGTAACAACAGAAATTTGTTTAGAGTAGGAGTCAGACAACTTTTGATTTTATATTTGATTAGATGTCTCTTCATTTTTCAATAGTCCTTATGTTGGTAATTAATAATCAGTGCATCACAAAATACTTTTAAATATTTTACTATAACACCTGAAAACAAGTCTAATTAAAAAATAAAATCAGAACATGAAAAGCATTCAGCTAAGAAGATGCAAATTATCAGGTATGTCTATTATCACTTGAGTATCAGAACAGCTAAAGAAAGCACTATTGCTGCATGTATTCCATACTCACGGCATCCTGAATGACTTCACTTTTGTCTGGGCTTTCTTCTAGATAAATCCTCTCTCTCAGGCCACTCCTGGGGCTCTAAGGCAAAAAAAAAATTCAGTTAATTTCAAGAGGCTCACCAAAAAGCGATAAGGAAAAAAAGTGTTAAAGAATAATGTTTTGAATTTCATATTTGTCTTTGAAGCTACTAAATATCTTTCATATAATACCTGTCTCTGCTACTTTCTTCCTGACTCTGTGCAAGTCATTTATTCTCTCAACTTTTTAATTGTATGTGGATAAAACAACATAAAACCAAAAAAACAGTCTAACCTGTATCTCCAAACCCAGAAGCTAAGTTTTCTACCAAATAACTCTAACTGAAGATATCATACATCTAAAACTTATTATGTCAACTTATTATTATCTTTAGCCATATCCTTTAACCACGTCATCAAACTATTCTTTCTATCCAAGTTAAAAGCATTTTGTCCTATTTACAGAAATGAAATTAAGCTTCTGTCTTTCTGTTGCCATCTCATGTGAAAACTGCTGTAGAGATTTTTATATTTATAGGGTATTTTTGGGATGATCTAATATAAAATATAGACTATGTGACATGCAGAAAGTTCACTTTGGAGGCATGAGGAACACCTCAGAGCAAGAGGAATGATTCTTCAGAGCAGCTGGAAATGAGGAACAAGAGATTTGTATAGGAACCCCAATAGGGAAGACATATGCTATCTATATGTGTACCAAGAGACCACAGACAGAGAAAACGGGAGTTTCAAATATAAGCTCCATCTTGGAGAAATGGATGACTCTGAGTCTTGGAAATGAGACATAAAAAATGAGACGAAAATCTTGTCACACCAAAAAAGCAAGGAAGCTATCAAAGACACTGAGGGGTCATGTCAAAAGGATACAGAAGACAAACTGAACGGGCTCGCAACCAGCCAAAAAGGGACAATTTGAACATCCAAAAGAATAATGACTGTAACGGACTGAAACACAATAAGCAAATACGTTAAAATCTGAGTTCAATACACCCACACACGCATACACCCCCTTATTTGTCAGCTGTGGAGTTTGTTAGGGTATCAACTCTTCTGAAAAGAAATACATGAAGGGAAAGTGTTAAGTATTTATCTTGTACTCCTGTATAACCTAACAGCTAATCTAGCCTGTTAGCGTAACCTAACAGCTTATGAGGGGAAATTCTTCTTTATAAAATAACTCCATCTAATAAATGCAGAACAAATTGACAAAATTGTAATATTACCATTTTGAAACCCCCAATTTAATGATAGATCTAGGCATTTTGATCACCAATGGCAGGTAAAAACACTAGATGAAAGCTTGATGGGTCACCTTCTAATGAAGGAATTGTGCTGACATCACCTGAACACGTCAAAGAAACATCCAGACAACCAGACATTCAGCTCCTAATGTGATGAAATACGAAGTACACAGTGCCATCTATGAGTTGTTCCTGCCAAATAACAACAACAGCCACGACTGCCAAACCTTAATCTGATCAAGACTCCAGCTCTAACTATCAGTTTTCAGGAAATACAGACAGAGAAATATGTTAAACACCATGAAAATACAATTAGAATGTGGGTTATTCTACTGGACACCAACCAGTTTCTTTAATACAAAAATAGCAAGGAGGGGAAAAAAAAAAAAGAAAGAAAGAACAAGGGGGAAGTATTATAAATTAAAATGACTCCTCAACCAAAGTTAAAGTGAAAAACTTGACTGGATTCTAATTCAAATAAACCAACCATAAAAACATCATTATAAGACAATTAGGGTAATAAAATTGGATGATATTAAAGAAATACTAATTGTTAAGGTTTGGTAATGATATTATTTATTATATTATCTATTATTATACTATTGTATATTATTAATTCTATTACTTGATAATGATACTTTAAAAAGCCTTTTTATCTCCTAGAGATACACTGGTAAAATAATATCTAGGATTTACTTTAAAATAATCCAGTGTTTGGAGGTGTAGGGAATGGGGGATATATACAAAACAAGTTTGAGCACGTGTTGGTAACCACTGAAGCCGGGTGATTAGGTACATGACGGGGGATCATTATCCATTCTTTCTACTTTTGAGTATTCAGAAATTTCCCAAAATAAATGTTATCTTTTTAAAAATAACAGCCACAAATTGAAAATCAGCGTGGCAGACACTCTGAATGTTAGCTGATGATTTGAGACCAGTTTGCTTCTCTTGTGAGAAATGGGCATGTGAACACTCTTTAAGGCCTTCTCCAAGGTAAGCAAAAGCAGGGACCTTTTTTTTTTTTTTAAACAATGATAAATGGTTATTAGAAACACCACCAGGAGATAATATTATAAATATGAATAGAAAATGAAAAAACAAGTGTTGACTCAAAAGATAAGAAAACAGGTTCCTATAAATTTAATTAACAGTACAATTGAAATAAACATGGAAATCCAAAAGCTAAAAGCAAATTTTTAGCCTTAAATGGACACTTGTGAGAATTAAACCAGTTTGTTATGTGTTCAGTAGATATCCTAGTTTGGGCTTTATAGTCTCTCACTTGGATTTCTACAATATTTATTTATTCATTTGGCCTCAGTTTCCTTATCTCTAAAGGGATGGTACTGCTTAGTCATAGTTAACTTTGGGATATTATGAGAGTTAAAAAGAATATCTGTAAAACATTAAGTACATTCTCTAACTAAAAGTAGGCATTCAACAAATGGTAACTAGCAGCCATTCAACACACATTTGTTAAGTGTCTGTTAAGCCAAGACTGCTTTACCCTAATTCATTTTCCACACTGACATGTTTTTGATATATAGGCCTGATGGTCCCTCCCCTCAGCATGAAAGATAAAGACCAAACCTCTACTTATTCTCTCATTTGTTCATTTTTATTAAACACTAATTACATGTTAAAAAAAAAAAAAAAAAACCCAAAACAGTCACCATCGAGTTGACTCCAACTCATAGGGACCATATAGGACAGAGTAGAACTGCCCTATAGGGTTTCCAAGGAGCAGCTGGTGAATTCAAACTGCCAACGTTTTGGTTAGCAGCCGTGCTCTTACTTACATGTTAAGCAGTCTTAATTTACAGGAATGCCCATTTCTACACTCACCGATTCACTCTTTATATTATAAAGGTTTATCTTTCTAAGAAACAGATTTGGTTGTAACATTCCTCATAATTCAAGATTAAATTCAAACTTCTCATTCACATCATTTGTTCTGAATTCATGTAATCTGCCAAGCTTTGGAAACATAAAGTTGAACAGACAGTCCCTGTGCTCTCAAGGAACTTCCCATCTAACTATAAATAAGCCATGAGTACACAGAGGAGAAGCAGTACTAAATCACAAAGGCGAGTACAAGACAGATTCCCAAAAGCACTCCTGCTAGAATAAACTGAACCCCTATATGACTCGGCCTCAAAACTTTGTTTCTAAGATAATCCTAGCCATTTCAGCCATAACCCTAACATACCAGGCTGTCCTAAAATTTTCACTATTTCCCAAAAATGTTATACATTTTCACATCTAGGTGACTTTGTTTATATTTAGGGTATTGGTACTTTGGAGCTAAGTGGAGGCAGATTGCTAATTGCCTGGGTAAGTCTGGCAACTTAGTTAACTCCTTTTAGCCTCTGTTTTTTCTTTTGTAAAGTTATGATAACAATAGCACTACTTCATAAGGTTGTTTAGTGAACTAACTAAGATAATGAATGTAAAACATTTATCATAGTTATGTCACATATGCCCAATAAATGTTAGCTATTACAAACTTTTTTCTTAAGTCAAAATTGAAATTTTCCATTAAAATCTTTAGCTTACCCAATCACAATTTTTTTTTAAAATTTTCCTTGCATGAGAAACTGAGTCATTGGGCCTAAACCTCAAAGGTTGGCCTGAATGATGGCTTAGACCAGTAGTTTTCAAATTTTTTTTTACCACAATCTCCAATAAGAGATAAATTTTACATTGTTACCCAGTACACACATACATGTAAACACACACACACAGACACACTCCCGTCTGTGTGTATGTATATACAAAAGTCACAAAAAATAACACTTTCCTCTTCTACATGCAAAGCACTCATATTTCCTATTCTATTCTCCTTTTTGTCTTTTTGCTGGTCACATGCCACTAATTTGATTTTCATGAACCACAGTTTTAAAAACATTGGCTGAGACTACTTCCCCCATTGCTTTAAAGAGGTTCATCTATTTTCAAGTCATCATTCCTACCACTGCATACTACTTAAAAGTACTGCTGAGTAAATAACACTGAACTCAGCTTTTAATTATTCCTATGACAATAGGATTCATCATATTCAACTTAAAATATTTTATTATCACCTTCTTGACAAACACCATGTTCATCTGGCAGATCCTGGGTTAATCAAGAGTTGTTACTAAACATGGGTTATTAACTGAAGTCTATCTAACAGGACTAAGGCTTTTCCTCTTGGTAATGACAAAGTGTCCCATGATTCAAGAGTGAGTCACTCTGACCACAAATGGAATATTAACATGCTCTTAAAGATATCAACACTCGGCCTCTCGGTTCAGTAGAAGCACTGACGTTATTAACTTCTCTACCCACAAACAAGATGCCTGCTGGGAAATTCCATCCTCTCAAGAGAAACAACATTTGGCAATGGGTGTCCAAGGGAAAAAGTGAACTCCGGAATTAAAAGCTCATTAACTCAGTGTCCAGAATTTCCGGTATCAAATTCCTATATTAAAGATGAATATTGCAAAAAAAAATAAGTAACAGGATAACACTTTAATTTGCATAACTTAAAATCAAATTTAGAAAGGGGTTGTAAGAGAGAATATAAGAAGATAAAGATCAAGAACACTTAATGCTTACATCTGCATTGTCACTACTGGGCCGAGAACCATCGCCACTGCTGGAGGCAATTCTGTCCAGTCCATCACCAGTATCTGCTTCTACTTCACTGACTGTTAATGTGTCACATAAAGGCTTGGAAGGTGTAAATACAGCTCCATCCTAAAACAAGTAACTTTCATTACAAACTATACACAGAAATTGAGCTGCACTACAATCTAAATGGAGATTGGTAAAAGTTGGACACTCTGGGGTGATCAGGTATGCTTAAAGCTCTAAAAGTAAAAAGCATAACTACAAACTCTAAAATGGCATGACCTTAAAGACAGAAAAAGTGACATCTGAGTAAAGAGAATACAGGTGAAACTTCGAAATAGAACAAAAAGATAAAATAGTTTATCAATTTATGTAATTCATATTTCCTGCCTATTTGTCTTTATCCCTTAAGATTAAGATTATCATGCTGTAACTTCTGGTTAACTGCCTTCCATTAATTCAGAATTCCAAGAATTTGCCAATTTTGGGACACAACGCTATAACATAAATTATCAAAAGCTTTTAGATCAGGAACCACCTTTTTACTATTTGAACAGGGTAATGATGTTGTCTTTGTTCAACTGTCCACATAACTGAAGCATAATACTCAAAATCTGATAGTGAAACTGCAAGTTATGAAAAAAATTAATGAATAACGTGCGATGAAAAGTACACCAAACTAGGAAGTCAGGAGAATTTATAAACTATGTGACCTTGTATAAGTCATTTAATCAATCTAAGCCCTAGTTTTCTCAGCTATAATATGATTTTTTAATTTAAATCCCTACTTAAAAACATATCAATTGCCACTCTGTTTCAAAATGGCAGAATGAACCACAAAAATGTTAACAGGTGTATCTACATACTTTTTAGTAGTTTGTCACATCAAAGCAAAAGCACTCAATTGTTTTTTAGATTTTTATGGAACAAAGAAACATGCCCTCATGAGCAAACAAACAAACAGAAACCCACATTTCTTTTCATCATTATTTCTGTTACATCCTCCACAGGATATCCTGTTGTCCTATGCTATAAAAAATAACTTTTTTAAAAGGCAACTGAAACATTCTCTGGCACATCCCCAGAAGAAAATTCTCCTGCAAAACACTGGGTAGCACTTTTAATAGTGATGCTACCTGAGCAGAGCCTGTGGCTTTGGATAACTGCTCCTGCAGTTGGGGAATGTGTTTCTTGGCCTCTTGGATCTCTTTCAGCAATCTTTGGGCAGGTGTCCGGTTGTAATCTTCCTGCAATGACTGAAAAGTTGTAAAAATATTTTGAGAATTACTTATATCAACAAAATATAGAAAAAATCCATGCTATAAGCATATAAACATCCATTCAACAAAATAGATGATAGCATTTTCCCCCTTTTGATCAGATTCGTCTATAGAATCTATTCTTCTACTACATGCAGTAATGGCAGCCAGGTACCATCCTAAGGCAAAGGAGACAGTTGTTCATGGAGGCAATTAGCCACACATTCCATATCCTCCTCTTATTCCTGACTCTTCTTCTTCCTCTGTTGCTCCAGGCAAATAGAGACCAATTACTGGGCCTTGGATGGTCTCTTGCAAGCTTTTAAGACCCCAGGCACTATGCAAGGAACTAGGAGGTAGAATAGAAGCACTAAACACATTATTAGGCCAATTAACTGGGATGTCCCATAAAACCATGACCCTAAACCTGCAAACCAAGGAAACAAATCCTCTGAGGTGTTTGGCTGTACACAAGCAGCTTCAGCTGCTACTCTTTTTCCTTTTTTTGTCATTGTTGTAAAAATAGCTATCACACAACTTTTGCCAGTTCAACTTTTTACAGGTGTACAACTTATTGACAGCAATTACAATAATCGGCTGTGCAACCCTATCCTTAACCAATTCGATTTGTCCATCACTGTTAACCCACATTTTCCCCCTTAACCACTAATAAACTTTAGTCTCTATACATTTGCCTTTTCTTGTCTTTTTATATAAGTGAGGTCATACAGTATTTGTCCTTTAGTGACTGATTTCACTCAGCATAATGTCTTCAAACTCCATCCATATTTAAATTCCCATGGATTTCAGACTTTCTGGAGCCAAAGGAGCTGAATGAACCCCTGAAATTATTGCCCTGAGATAATCTTTAAACCTTAAACTAAAAATATCACCTTAGGTCTTCTTAAAACCACACAGTAGTTTAGCTTAACTAGTAGAAAATGTCTGCCTTGAGCATTGTGCTCTTTTAAGAACTACTTACGTGGGATCAAAGTGACAACAGCAATTTGAAAGATTAGATAGGAGCCTTAGGGGGCAGTGAGTTTATGTTAATGGAGAGGAACAACTCAGAAAGAGAGGGTGAGAATATTTGTACAACTTGAAGAATGTAATCAATGTCACTGATTTGCACATGTAGAAACCGCTAAATTGCTTTATGTTTTGCAGTGTATACGCTCAACAACAAAATAAAATTAAAAAAAAAAGATGATAGCATTGATTACAATACTGCTTGATTATAATTCAGATAAATACCAACTTAATATGCCCACTCATGTTTTTACTGGCCTGTAAGCAGCCCCATTTCTAATTTAGTACCTGTAGCCGCTCCTGTTCTTTTTGTAACATTTTTCTCAGAATTTCTACTTTCTGGTTATGAACCACATTGTTTTCCTCCTAGAAAAAGATTTTAAAAAAGTAAACAAATAAACAAGAATCAATACAGAGAAAGTGAAAGCTAAAATAAATAGAGAAAACGAGACCCATAATGTTCTGCGTCAGTTCCAGTTTTCAATACCTGTTAGGGTTTTCTTTATTCCTGGCAGTTATAAAGACAGGCTTTTAAACGACAATTTGAAAGATAAAAGATTACAGAGAAATTTCTGCCTCTCTATTTCTCTTTTACTAAATTAGGTTCAAAAAAACATTAAACACTGATATTGGTTGGAGAAATGAAATTTCTATAAGTATAATATTTATACTTTCTCTACTTGGATCTTCACTATCAACCTCCATGCATGCTCAGATTCACAGGACCTCCTACCTGAAATATGAAGACAGACTCCTAACTCATTTCCCACCATCTCTCCTTGTTTCACACCCTATTTACCATATTAGTCTTCCTAAAACCATGTCATGATCACATCACTCTCCTGCTCAAGAAAAACTTTAATGGATTCTGACTGGCTACCTAGTTACATGCAAAATGTGGTTTCCCCAAATGAACAGCTGATCTACTTTTTTTCAAGCTTATCTCCCTCAACATACATTCTTAATTGGCATCATTTACACCAGTCAAAGAAGAGTCCCGGTTACTTCCCAAAAGTACTTGGTGCTTTCTTGGCTCTTTACCTCAGCTCATTCTACTCCCTCCACTGAGGGTGCCTTCTTCTCATCGCCACCCCTTAAATATTACCTGTTTTCCAAAGCTCAATTCACATAATACCTTTCTATAAAGTCCTGCTTTATCACAACTTGATGCACTTTCTTCCTCCTCATAGAACTTAATATTTTTTCCCTCATAATGTCTACATTCTGACTTTGTATTATAGTATATACTCTTGTATACTCTTGATTCAAACTCAATCAACAAAAGTTTATTAAACACCTATCATATACTACGCAATATTCTAGGCACTGGGGACACAACAGTAAACAAAATAAACAAAAAGTCCTCGTCCTTTTAGAGCAAACATTCTAAGATGACTATGGACCTTGACTATAAGATATGGGAATTATATTCTCACGGATGACACACTGCTTTGTATATGGTAGGTGTTTAATATTTGTTGAATTAAATCTGCTCTCTCAATACTCTATATAATCATTCCAAATTACTATGGAATTTTTTTATTCAAAAATTATTTTCTAGATTCTTGAACTTAAGTTTATCAGCCCAATACTTTGAAACTCTTAATGCAAAGCAAAATAAAGCAAAGATATCATTATGCAGCTGAGCATTTACTAAGAAATATTCCTACTCTTACCCCCACGAGCACAGGACTAGTGATTCTCTCCATATTCCCAGACACTCCAGGTGAATGAGGGGATGTCATGATGGGAGACATATGTCCAATGACTGATGGCTCTACTTCAGGATCAGCTAGTGGAATCTGGGGCGACCCAGGTGGGCGTCCCTGAACAGTGAGAGCTACATAGGAACCAGCTTGGGGTGCGGAGATGGAAAAACGGGGAGGGAGAGAAAAAGCACACTGTCAGGAAACTTTTTATACCATGTCACTACTTAATCTTTGACAGTTCTAAAAGATCCACTAAAAGATCCGTCAGCTGCTAACCATTTCTCCACAGAAAAAAGACCCAACCGTTATTTCTCTTTTGTGACTGTCCGAAAAATCTTTTAAAAAAATGCCATTTTCAGACAGCAAATGATTACTTATAAGATCAGATATTATGGAAGAGCCAAAAAAAAATTAAAACCCTGAAAAAAACTTTTTTTTTTTTAAATTTAGAGCAGACTGAAATTAATATCAAACATTTATCAATGGCTATGTTCAGTTAATTTTTTAAATGTAAATTTTAAAAAATCATATTTTATAATGAAACTAATTAGGCTGATTTAACTAATATTCTGGAATATAATGATGTAATTTTAAATTAACTTTACTAAATGAAAATGATAAAAAGATCTCACAGAAAGAGGAAAAAACACAATAAATAAGTAGCGGATTTTAATTTTTAAAAACTTGTAGGACAGAGGAGGAAAATTTACTAGGCATATTATTGAAAAAATTTTTAGAAGGCAAAATTCATCATCAGAAAGACTCAACAACAAACATCCATTATTTATCTAGCATCAACAAGAAATAAGACGTTCCAAATAAATGACTTTTCTAATAGAGCTTTACATGACAAAACCTTTTTTTATGCAAACAGAATGTTTAAATGTATTTCACACTTTTCCCCCAATTTAACCGTCCTATGGATAGCAGAGGGTTTGGTTGTTTTTTTTTAACGCTGCTTGTAGTCAATGCTATAAACATTAATCATTTCACAGCATTCTAGGGTTCGAAAAATTATTGTTGTTATATTGAATGGTCACAAATGCTATACTTTTTTTAAAGGTTTTCCAGTCTTATTTCTCACTGACAGAAAGTCATCTGTCATACCTTATTCATTCGACTGTGTGCTTGCTTCCAATAGCTTCCTAGCTCTTCCTTTCTTCAGCACTTTCTAAATTGCTTTTGAGTTGAAACTACTTTTATTATTTCTAAACTATGCATTAAAATGTAGGACATGAAGGAGTTCTTTTATAAGAATAGCACACAAGTTTCAGGCATGCCAAATTTATATCTGGTTTTGGATATTCAGAATTGTTTTATGCTTAACTTCAAGGTTTTAGCTATGCTCTGGCCACCAGAAAAAAAAAATTGCTATAGTCCTAGGATTTAATTTTTAAGTAAAATTTATATTGGGATGAGCTAAAAATAAAACCCAGAAAGCTAAAGAAATAATCTTATTTTTTATACTCTGCAATAGTTAGACATCAGGCATGTATTTATTATTTCTATTATCATAAACCATCATTTATGTAGCACATAAAAATTTATAAGTCACAATCTCATAAAATAAGTAATCAAATGTATTCAAGTATGGAGATCTAATTCTGATCATCACATTTCTTATAAAAATACACTAAAGTTTAAAAATATGATCAAAGTGACCATTTAGAGCACTGGCACTTTGATGAAAAGGTAAAGGAATTTAGCATTGCTTAACTTAAGAAATAAGAAAGCCAAGAAAGAATTCAATTTATTGAATTTATTCTAAAGATGTTCACTCAATGAAAAGAAATAGGATTAAATAAAACAGTAGTGATTCTGCTTAGAAACAAACAGAACTCTCCTATTTGTGCTCTACTGTGAAATTCTGAGGAAGATCAAAAATTCTTAACCCTTGAGATTCCCAAGAGAAGATAACTACCCTGGATTATTTAATCACTTGCTTGTCTGAGGGAAAGTGGTTATGCTAAATGATATTTTTAAAGTTTCATTTCAGTTCATCAGAGCATTACATCTGATTCCATGACCTCCTTCCTCTGAAGTGACTTACGCATCTCTTTGAGATGTATGATTTCAATATTACTAATAAAGACAAAGATACTATAATCAACTATATATATGGAGTTGACAGAAGATAGCTATTTGTAAATTAAGAGCATTCATATCAGACTTTCCATCAATGCAATGAGCTAAATCCAGTGCACAAACTGCTTTTGTAAATGAAGTTTTATTGGACAGCCAAGCCCATTTATTTACATATTGCTTATGGCTGCTTCTGCTCTACAATGGCAGAGTAAAGTAGCTGACTACCCTTGTTGCCATTGAGTTGACTCAGACTCACAGCAATCCTACAGGACAGAGTAGAACTGCCCAATAGGGTTTCCAAGGCTGTAAATCTTATGCAAGCAGACTGCCACATCTTTCTCCCTCGGAGCGGCTGGTGGGTTCAAACCACCGACCTTTCAGTTAGCAGCCAAGTGCTTTAACCACTGCGCCACTAGGGCTCCTCAGTAGCTGACGGTATGGCCCCAACCAAAACCAAACCCACTGCTGCTGAACTGATTCTGACTTATAGAGACCCTATAGGACAGAGTAAAACTGTCCTGTAGGGTTTCCAAGACTGTAAATCTTTACAGAAGTAGATTGCCACATCTTTCTCTCTCGGAGCAGGCTGGTGGGTTCCAATTGCCAACCTTTTGGTTAGCAGCAAGTGCTTTAACCACTGCGTCACCAGGACTCCTCAGTAGTTGACCATACGGCCCACAAAGACTGAAATATTTACCATCTGTCTCGTTAGAGAAAAAGTTTGCTGATCCTTGCTTTTAAGGGTTTCAAAAAACTATTAAAATAGGGAATAACATTCACCTACATTTGATTAGCTTCACCACCTCCAAATGGTTTGAATGAGTCACTAGAGTTCCATTCACCTGTAAGAAAATGAAAACAGTGTATGTCAGTTACATTCTATTGGGACAATGGATAAAATGATTTAAGGAATTATCATTCATAATACATCCAATTATAATATAGGAAACCAGGCTATAGATAGATAGACAGGCAGACAGACAGATAGATGTATATAGATACATATGTATAGCTATATTGTTGTTAGGTGCCGTCGAGTCAGTTCCAATTCATAGTGACCCTATGTACAACAGAATGAAATGCTCGGTCCTGTACCATCCTCACAATCATTGCTATGTTTGAGCCACATATGTGGGGGTGTGTGTGTATATATGTACATATATACATATGTGTGTGTGTGCATGTGTGTATGTGTGTATACACTTGGTTCAATAATTCACTTTTTAAAATATTCTGTAAGTTATACTCTGCAACAAAATGAATTTGAACACAAAACAGGGCCTTGATTTAATGGACATTACAATTTATTCATCATGACAAATGATAATACATACCAAGCAACAGATTTAGAAATCCATCACAATTAAAGACTCTTGCAAATAGAAAAGGTCTCTTTGCTTTTAATTACTAATTCACTGATTTGTCAAAATCATAATAAATCAATAACAGATAAAATATTAAGTGATATTTCCATAATAATACTCAATTTACTTTTAGTTTTCCAATCACAACCTAGTCTTAAAAAAGATAATTACTTTTTAGGCAGATTAAATGTAGGAAATGTTATCCAAAGTCTCCACCGAACAAAACAAATCAAGGTAAAAATAGCAAATGCGGATCTAACATTTTTTTCTGATGCAAATAATACTAATTTTTAAAGTGCAAATACAACAGAGTGTAAAAGAAAAGTATCTTCATCATGCCCACCAGAGATAATCACTGTTAACTGTTATGTTGAACCTCTGAAACAGTTTTCAAGCATATACCCACCAGATACACAGACATGTACACATACAGTATAACTCTTTTTTTTCTGCAAGAAAAAAGGATATATACATATATTTTTTCATTGTATTGTGGATATCTTTTAATCTATATACACATAGACCCAGTCTGTTCTTCTTAAAAGCTGCAGATGAATTGTAATTTATTTATCTAGCCCTCAGTTTATGCACATTTAGATTCTTTTTAATTTCTAACAAATATATTTTTCACTTATCACTTTAACTTCTTTATTATTAATGAGGTTGAACATATTCTCATTAACGTTACCAACTTCAATTACTTTGAAGAACTGCCTAATAAAATCCTTTGTCCATTTTTTGATTTATTCTTTTATTAATCTTAAGAACCCCTTACATATTAAGAATATCATATAATAAGTTTCAAATATTTTCTCCAGATTGTCTTTATTTGTAAAGTATATTCATGGTGTTTTCTCCTATACAGTAATTTGATTTTAAGTAATCAGGTTAGTCAATTGTCTTAAAAGTAATTATTGACTAATCTGCTCTTTCCCTACTAATCTGAAATTCAAGGCCTCTTTCTGGCCTCTCTACTGTTTTGCACTGATAGGTCTATATCTAGATTAGAGTCACATGTTTTAAATTAATTGACACCATCTCCCCTCATACATACCTATATATATAACACATTTTTTTCTTTAGCTATTGTTATACCTATGTAAAGTTCACCTGGGAGAATAATCAGTTTGACAAGTAACAACACACCTCCCCAGTTCTATCAGTATATTTTGCTAACAAATTAATTTGGAGTCAAATGGTATCTTTATAACAGTGAGTTATTCTCCTACCCAGGAACATATATAATTCCATTTATTCAAGCCTTTTATTATGTCTTTCAGTAAAGGGATATATTAATTTTAAAACAAAATAAGTTTTTAGAGTCAACAGATCCATCACCAGTAATGTGCTGTGTTTTATAAAAATGTGCATGAAAAAATTAGAATACAGCTAATATGATGTTGTTTTTAAATCCTACCATAAATTCCCTACCAGCCCTTACCTTGATGATTCGATCACCTGTCTGTACTCCAGCCCGCATGGCTGCTCCATCTATAAGAGAAATTACTTACTTAAAATGTAATTCATTTACATGCACTCATAATTTTCTTGGAAGAGAGGTAGTGACTAAGCACGGGCTGTAAGGCCAGAGTGACTTGGGTTCAAATCCTGCCTCTGCCACTTACTAGTTGTGTGACCTCAGACTGATTTTGGTTTTTGGTACTCTAAGCCTCAATATCAACTGTGAAATGGGGATAAAAAATAACTACCTAAAATTATAACACTCAATACACAAGAGGTATTCAATATATAGTAAAAGATATTGTTGCTTTTGGAAATGAATTAATATTTTTTGAGCCTAAAACCATCTCTTTATCTACCAAAATATCCCTGGTGTCATGAAGAAATGAAATTCCAGAAACTAAAAACTTATAGTGATGATGCATAAGATATCATGACCAAGGTGCCAAAGGATTTCTAAAAACTATTTAAGAACTGTCTTCTTTCTGTAAAGTAAAAAAAGAAAAAAAAACCAGCTGGGGTAAATTCATGCCTATAGCTATGGTACAAAAGACAAATCTTGCACAAAAGCCCTTATGACTTGCAATCTATATAATTATTCTATTCCAAACAAACACGGAAGAAAACAAACATTATTTAAGCCTTTCTATTCTTACTGTTTGCTCTCAAGTAACAGACGATTTTTTAAAAAATGCCTTGCCTTCTTTGACAGACTGTACGAAGACTGGATTGTCTCCACTGACTGTCAGCCCAAATCCATTGTCATCCTTCTGGATAATCACACAACGCTGAACAAGACCTGCACAAGAATGACAGGGAGAGAGAGATGATAGAGAAAACAGAAAGAAAAAGACATTACGTGTTAGCAATGAACTGTATTCTATCCGGAGAAGCACAAGATAGCAAATGAAACCCCATATAAAATAAGCGTGGTAACCTCATAAACCAAACACGCACAGGAACATCACAAAGAATCACATATATTGGTTTCTCACTGCAGAGGTAGAGTAGAATTGCTCCAAGATTAAAAACAGTATGGCAAACTGGAAAGGATGAAGTATTAGAGATGACACAGTTAGAAGGAAAGCCCATCCACATCTCTCCTATTTATTTGCAAAACAAAATCCTCCCTCACCGCACTATGGGTTTAGTGCTCTAATTGGTGTTTAATATTTTGGTGCATTAGGCTAGGCGCATACCATGGTAAATTCTGGGGAAATCCAATCTCACTTTCAAGAAAATATATTTAGGAAAACAGACTGTGAAAGGAAAAGAGGTGTCCAGAGCACCTGCAGCACAGCTCTTATCCCAGGAGGGAGACAGAATAGGAAGCGTTCAAAGGGAAGAAAGAGCCTGACTCATAGAGAAAATAAGCAGGAAGGAGAAAAAGGTAAAAAAGATAAAGAACCTACGAGCAACCATTTCCTTCATCTATTTCAAATACTCACCGGATTCCTAGAGGAGAGTTTGTTTTTCTTCTAGTTAAACAGCAAATGAAAATTGTCAAGGTAAGGTGAGAGAGAGAGGACCCCAATCAAAGGAATAGGGATGTTCCCGTCTAGAACCCTGATTAGTACCCAGGGCTGTTTTATCACAAATGCCTCTGAAGATCCTGAACTTTGTGTTAGCCAGAGACTTAATATATACTGAAAACTTTGCAGAATATAAACATTTTGCCAAAAATCAACATATAAGAACATATAAAATAGCCCAAGTACAATGATGATTAGAAAATAAAAACACCTTCCAAATAAAGAGTTTTATACAAAAAGCCACGATCTTTTAAATACATCTGATGTGCAAAACAGGATATATTAAAATTATATATCAATGAATATATGTGTGCATGTGTGTATATACATATATAGGAGCTCTGGTGGTGCAGTGGTTAACAGCTTGGCTGCTAACCAAAAGGTTGGCAGTTCAAATCCACCAGCCACTCCTTGGCAACCTTATGGGTAGTTCTACTCTGTCCTATAGAGTTGCTATCAGTCGGAATCGACTCAACAGCAATGGGTTTGATTTTGGTTTATGTATGTATATATATATATTCTTGCTGATAATCATATGTCACAAGGATGTGAACACACTACAGATGAAAGACTGTAATAATTAAATAATCATATGAAAAAAATAAACTTTGAACCTTATCTCACACCCTATACAAAATTTAACTTAAAATAGATCATGGGCCTAAACATAAAAGCTAAAACACTTTAGAAGTAAACATAGGAGAAAATTTTCAAGCCCTTAGAGTAGAAAAAGATCTCTTAGGACATAAAATGTACCAACCATAAAAGAAAAAACTGATAAACTGGACTTCAAAATATAAAACATCTGCTCCTCTAAAGACACTGATAAGAAAATGAAAAGGCAAACTACAGACTGGGAGAAAATATTCACAATAAAAAATATCTGATAAAAGGACTGTACTCAGACTACATTTAAAAAAAAAAAAAACTACAATTCAACAATGGAAGAAAAATTTCAAAGGGTACAAAAGATCTGAATAAACATATCACAAAGAAAGATACGAAAAAGGCCAATAAGCACATGCAAAGATGCATGACATCCAAATGCAAATTATATGCAAATACAAATTAAAACCAAAAACAGATACCACTATACACCAATTAGAATGGCTAAAATTAAAAAGAATAATAATACCAAGGGTTGGCAAGGATGTGGAGCAACTGGAACTCTCATATGTTGCTGGTAGGAGTGTAAAACAGTACAAACAGTTTGGAAGTTTCTTTTAAAGGTAAACATACACTTACATATGACTCAGCAATTTCATTCCTAAGAGAACTGAAAACTCATGTCCACATAAAGACTGGTACGAAAATCTTTATAGCAGTTTTGTTCGTAACAGCCAAAAACTGGAAATAACTCATCCATTAACAGGTGAACAGATAAATAAATTGTGGCTTATATAAAAAAACACTACCTAGTTAAAAAAACAAACAAAAACTACCCACAAGGAACAACATAGATAAATCACAAAAGGACATACTATATGATTCCAATCTTAGAGTAGGTAAAACTAAACTAGTAACAAAAATCAGATTATCCCTTGGAAGCAGCCATCCAAGTTATAACAATTGGTCTCTATTCTCCTGGAGCAAAGAGGAAGAAGGAGAGTCAGGAATAGGGGGAGGATATAGAACGCATAGCTAAATGCCTCCATTAACAACTGCTTCCTTTGCCATGAGACCAGAAGAAATGGATGATGTCCAGCTACCACTACTGAACATTTTGATCAAAGATTCTATAGAAGAATCCTAATCAAAAAGGGGAAATGCAGAACAGAATTTCAAATTCTCACAGAATCCAGATTTTTTGGAGGCAAGGAGGCTGGATGAACCTCTAAAACCACTGCCCTGAGATAATCTTTAAACCTTAAACCAATAACATCACCTGAAGTCTTCCTAAAACCAAACAATAGTGTAAGCTTAATAAAGAATGTCTGCCTTGTGCATTACACTCTTTTAAGATCTATATATATGGGATCAAACTGACAACAGAAACTTAACAAGATTAGATAGGAAACTTAGGGGACAGTGAGTTTATGTTAATGGAGGAAGGACAACTAATTAAAGGAGGGTGAGAATGACTGCACAACTCCGAGAATGCAATCAAATGTCACTAAAATGCACATGTAGAAATTGCTGAATTGGTGTATATTCTGCTGTGTATATCCTCAACAACAAAAATAAAATAAATTATTAAGGTAAAAGCAGATTATTGGCTGTCTAGCGGCAGGGTGGGAAGAGGAAATGGGAATGAATGGAAAGAGGCGTAACAGAATTTGGGGGTGATGGAATCTTGATTCCAGTAGTGGCTATGTAAGTATATTCATTTGTGGGAACTCACTGAACTGTATACTTAAAGTGAGTGCATCTTATTTAATGAAAATTGTACCTCAACAAAATTGATTTTGAACATTAAAAAAAAAAAAAATTGCCTCAATTCTACAGACTACTAAACAGTACTTGAATTCAAAAATTCACCACTCCCACAAAATAGTAAATTGTAAGCAGGATGGAGGAAAATTCAACATTCTCCATTTGTTTAATATTGCTTCTTTCAAGTAATTAGGAAGAACTATAAATAGAAGAGGTATGAATACATAAAATCAAGTAAGAAAAGCATTCTTCATAAATTTATAGTATAAAATAAATATAAGAATAAGTAGACTCAGAGCAGCGTTTTACAGGAATATTTTTAAATCCATGCTCCTTGTTGTAAACAAAGCCATCTCATGACCTCCTTTACATTTACTTAAAATTTCAAAATAAATTAGATGTGTCACTTTAAAATAAAAATCAAGGCAATTATAATACTGAATATATACTTTTTAAACAATATCCATGCCTACCAGCTCTCCTATTCTACCTCACATGGACTGAAAATCAATGAATTAAAAGGTTTCTAATATTGGTGATTTGCTGTGCTAAGCCACTGGGCTTGAACAAAGACTCTTTTTCAGGTCCTTGTACAGAGGATGGTGACTGTAAAAGAAGAGGAGAAGGGTTGGTAGGTTAAGAGTTTGCTACGTTTGTGTATCTTGTTTGAATATAATGTATATAATACATAGTTTAATGCCTGACAAACATTAAGGGCTCATAAATGTTAGATAAAATATTATTTTATTATTACTGGGGGAAGGGCTGCTCTTATATTTTCCCACTCAGAAATATGTTACTCACTCATTCATGCCATCAATTAAAAATACTTTTGTGTTAGACTAGACTTACTGGCCTGACAGAGAGACTGGAGAAACCCTGAGAGTATGGCCCCAGACACCCTTTTAGCTCAGTAATGAAGTCACTCCAGAGGTCCGCCTATTAGCCAAAGATTAGACAGACCCATAGGACAAAAGAGACTAAAGGGGCACACCAGCCCAGGGGCAAGGACTAGAAGGCATGATGGGACAGGAAAGCTAATAGGGAACCCAAGGTTGAGAAGGGAGAGTACTGACATGTCATGGGTTGTTAACCAATGTCATAAAACAATCTATGTACTAACTGTTTAATGAGAAGCTAGTTTGTTCTGTAAACCTTCATCTAAAGTACAATAAAAAAAAAATTTTTTTTTAAACTTTTGTGTTAATAAACTCCTCTTATTAAATGCAAATACTCCCTTAAGGAATGAATTCTCATCCATGCATTTGTTCCAGTTTATTTTGTTTTGTATTAACAAACAAGCAAATTAGTTGTTGTTTTCTAAATTTTACTGTGTTTCAGGTGAAAGTTTACTGCGCAAATGAATTTCTCATTCAAAAATTTATACACTAATTGTTTTTGTGACATGGGTTGCAATCCCCACAATGAATCAGCATTCTACCTGCAATTTGTCAGCACTCTCCACCTTTCAATTTCCACCCTGGGTTCTCTGAGTCCATTCATCCAGTTTTCCTATCCCTTCCTGCTATAGCTTTGGAGGAGGTGTTGCCCATTTGGTCTCCTATACTTGATTGAACTAAGAAGCATATTCCTTAGGTGTGCTATTGTTTTATAAGCCTGGCTAATATTTGGCTGAAAGGTGGATTTGGGGAGTGGCTTCAGTTTTGAGTTAGCAGAGTATCTGGGGGTCAGAGTCTTGGGGGTTCCTCTAGTCTCTGTCGGACCAGTAAGTCCTGGTCTTTTTTAGTGAATCTGAATTTTATTCTACATTTTTCTCTCGCTCTGTCTGGGACCCTCTATTGTGATACCTGTTAGAGTGGCCAGTGTGGTAGCCGGGCACCATCTAGTTCTTCTAGGCTCAGGCTGGTTGCTGTGGTTCATGTGGTCTATTAGT